CATCCTGCTGCAGTTTCCTCTCAAGTAACAGGAGCCTTCTGCCTTCCTGTTACACTCCCCAAACATGACACCTGAGAAATGGCACCACTAAGCCACACATTTGAGAAAAGATAATGTCAGCAATTTTTGCTGACCTAGTTTTTGCATTCTCATGATTTTCACAGATTCACAGATTCATAGAAGTTCAGGGCTGGAAGGGACATTGTGAGATCATTGGGTCTAGTCCCCCTGCTCTGGGCAGGAAAGACTGGTGGGGACAAATAACCCCAGCAAGATGTGCATCCAGTCTCCTTTTGAAGGTCTGCAGGGTAAGTGCCTGCACCACCCGCACTGGGATTCTATTCCAGAGTTTGGTTTGGTTACACAAACCGTGATGAAGTTTTTCCTTATATCCAGTCTGAATCCTTCTTCTAGGAATTTATGGCCATTGCTCCTGGTTTTCTCCTGGGGTGCTTTGGTGAATAGTTTTTCACCTAGCTCCTGATGCTCTCTCCTGATATATTTGTAAGCTGCCACCAACCCTCCCGCAGAAGTATTCTCTTTTGTAGACTGAACAGTCCCAAATCTGTCAGCCTTTCCTTTTATGACTTGCTCTTCAGGCCTCTAATCATACGAGTGGCTGTTCTCTGGACTCTCTCAAGCTTCAATACCTCCTTCTTAAAGTGTGGTGCCTAGAATTGGATGCAGTACTCCAGCTGCACCCTCACCAATGCTGAGTAGAGTGGGAGAATAATTTACTTAGTTTTGCTTAAGATGCATCGGTCGATGCATGCCAGTGTATTGTTTGCTCTGCTAAGTGTAGCAACACACTGGTGGCACATATTCATTTTATGGTCAATTATGACCCTGAGGTCCCTTTTGGACGTGATGCTAGCTAGCATAGCACCACCGAGCCTGCAAGTTTGTAGCAGATTTTTCCTTCCCAGATGGACCACTTTACACTTCTGTAAAAAGTGGGAGTCCCGAGCCTGGTCTCAACATAGGCCCACCCACTTGCTTCTGGGCAAACCACCCATCTACCTCGCCTTCCCCACCTTGATGTTCATGATTGAATGATGTTCATTAGGGGGGAGGCTGCCCTTTACCTGCCCTGATGACAAGGGCCTATGTACACAACTCTGACCGACCCTTATTGTGTCCCATGCGTTGCAGATATTTCATGGACTAATACCGGGCCTTATCATGTTTATAATATATGCACTGGGCTCCAAGCCCCATCTCTGGGCTCCAAGCCCCTCTCTGGGCCTCCAAGCCCCATCCCGGAGTCCCCAGGCCTTCCCCAATAGCTCCTCCCTTACCTCCAAGTTGTACTGAGCAGCAGCTCAGCCAGTGGTGCCTCTCCAGCTGCTGACAGCAGTCTTCTGGCCTTGCTGCTCAGGGCCCAGCTTTATAAGGACCAGCTGGGCTCTGTTCTCCAATCAGGCAGTCCTGCCTAATTAGGCTTGCAGCCAGCTGCAGGCTGCCTTGTTGCTGCCCACGTCCCTGGAAGTAACAGAGCCTGTGGTCTGTTACAACTTGTCAGTGCTGAACAGCATCTGGGTCTGGTCCGCCCATGTAACTAATCTCTCTAGGTCGACCTGGATCATCCGCCTACCCTGATGCATGGCCACACTTCACCACAGCTTAGTGTCATTGGCAAACTTTGCCAGTGTGTTCTTCACACCACCCCTCCTCCATTTCCAGATCATTGATGAAGATGTTGAAAAGCACTGGTCCAAGTACCAAAGTCTAGGGAACCCCACTGGCTACCTTCCACCAGGTCGACACAGATTAATTTAGTAGTACTCTCTGGGTCTGACCCCACAGCCAATTTCCCCCCCCAGCTGACCATTGAATTGTTGAGCCCATAATCCCCTTGTTTTATCTAGAGAGCCTGATGGGACACTAAATCAAAGTCCTTCCTAAAGTCCAAGTAAATGATTGTGACCTCATCTCCTTTATCCAGGTGGTGAGTAACCTGGCCAGTAAGGTTCCTTGTAATGCAAAAGACCCCTTAGAGACACAATTATCCAAGCAATGTGTAAATATCAAATTGGCAAGGATAAACATTGTAAAAGTCATATATCCTACTAGGAAGTTGCTGACTGTCATGGTACAGAAGTCACCCACACCTTTCCTTTCCTGATGGTGCAAGGATGTTCTCTGTTCTTGTTAGGTATCTCTCTGTAGTATACTACCTTGATGGCCTGCTGTCTTCCTCTTGGGGTTAGTTTTCTTGGCTGAAAGGAGAGGTGTGCCCTAGCTTATTCTGGAAAACCTGTCATAGACTGAAAAGGTGAGGGGCTTGTCCTAAACATGGGTTCAGGACTTTCCCAATATGACTAGGCTCAATTCTGTCAAAGGTCCCAGCCCTGCATCAGGAGTGTTACTGCAAACAAGTGAAGATTATTTTATGTCCTCAAAAATGCATCAGGATTCCTGGCTGTATCTCTTTACCTGCAAAGCCTCGTGACTTAACCCATGAGTTCAAAACTGCAGGGCTCTACCAGAAACATGCAACTCCTCTGCATGCAAACATGACTTTTAGTTGCCTAAAATGATCTTTTTTAGATTCCTTCCACATTACTTTGGCTGATAGAGTTACACAAATTAAAATCAAGGGCTTCAGTGCTGGATCAAGTTAGCAGGAGAGGGATTACAATAAAAAGACAGGGTGGCTGCCTATAGATTTTGGTGTGGGGCAGTTTGAGGAATATATTTTCCTAAGGTTGAAATTTGGAGAGGGCACAAGGTTGAACAGACCTAGGGCAGAAAGTGATTTCCCTTTGTGTGCCTCCCCAACCCCTTTCTAGCCACATGCCTGTGTATTTCTGGCACTCACACATGCGCTGTGGCCTGTACCAAGGTCAGGGTCTCAGGGATGGCTGTGAGGCCCCCTGGTGGCTTAGTGGCTGTGTCCACTGCACCCCTAGGGTGCCTTCCTGTCTCACCCGCCATGGCTTGATGGTATAATAATAAACAGGGAGGCTACCTTTGCATGACCCCAGTTCCATTGAACCCCTGCTAGGATTCCCCAGCACCCCACTGGTCCTAAGTGTTCCTCAGACCCCTTTCTGAGCCTTGTCCACTTATCCAGGCCAATCCCTGAGGCTTCAGAGCCTGGGTTTTGAGACAGGCTAAGGAAATAACGTTTGAGATGGGCAGAGGCCACAAGACTCCCCATCATGGATCACAGGGAGACTGTCCTCAAGAGCAATACATTATTATTATTAATGTACATTCTAGATCCAGATGAATGGATTCTAAAGAATGTACATTATTGCTAAAGTTTACCAGATGGAAAATATTTGCATGCAGCCCAAGTGCCACCCAAGGCGGTTTCATGGGTTGAAAATGCAGGTTTACATCACAGCCTGTCTAAGTAAAATGTCAGCACTGCACATCCCCAGGTGACATTTTAGGTGCAAGTCACCTGGCCCAGTTAAACACTTGGCCTTAGCCATGAGACTTGCTACCTTCGTCACCTCCATAAGTTTGCCTGAGATGACCAAGCAGAATGTGTTGTGCAGGCTGTTACTGGATGTATTTTTAGCCTGATTATATTATGCAAGGGTAGAACATAGATGCAAGGCATAAAGAGCTGCGAGTGCTAGAATCTGGGGCGATCTTCACTGCAAAGTCTGTTCCTCAGACTTAGGGTTACAGCAGCAGGATAAGGGTCATTGATGAATTATCACTTGTGTAACTGGTGCAAACACAGGTGTTTACAGTTCAGAGCCCACACAGATATTCATTCCCTTACATCACTGAAGTCCTTTAAAAGTGCTGATAAGGCCACATACCATGCATCCTGCCCACATATCCAGGCCAATCCCCGAGCCTTCAGAGCCTGGATTTTGAGACAGGCTAAGGGAATAATGTTTGTAGAATCCACTGCTCACACTTGAGCTCCTGTCTTCCATGCCCGTGTATAGTGGATGCTTTATTTTGTACCATGCTCTGCCCTATGTGTGTGCAGTATCCCCCAGCAGTGTCCCCCACCCCTCGGCTGTACTCACCTGGTACAGCCCCATGCTCTGTGCACTCTGTGTAGGAGCAGCATGTCTCAGAGCCACAGCGGGGGCTTCCTGTGCAGTTTGTGCTGGGACAGCGGAGAGGACAGAAGTGGAGAGCTTCCTGTCCTGGGAGGGCTGGGCCTCTTTGAGCAGGAGGAGGTGACTGTAAACCCCTTCTGTCTCATGACCTCTGAGCTCCAGCCCCTGCATGCACCTGCACTCACACAGTTCATCAGCCCCCGGGATGCATGGATCTTCATTCTCCTCCTGAACGCCAGCCACTGATCACCACTTGGGATACACATGCAGGTATCCCTTCTCCCTCACCCCAGAGCTGTCATTGCCATAAGAGAGCTTTAGAGTGGGCAGGATTCAGCTGTCCTGTATTGGATCAGGGAGGACTTAGTCCCAGAGACTAGGGTTAGTTTTGAGGATGGGTTACAGGTGAAGGGAACTGTGTTCATCTGCAGGGGAGGCTGTCTGGGTGTGCACAAAAAGCCTGGATATTTCCCTTTGTGGGTCTAGAGGCAGAGCTGCCAACTAACGGTGCAACTCCCTGCCACTCCCTGAGGGAGCTGTAACCTCAGAAAGCAAAACTGTAGGCACAGGACAGGCACCGGTACGTGCCTTAGGTTGTATTCATGTGCTGTGGGAATGGAAAAATTTTAGAGGTCACTGCATAACTCTCAAAAACACTGAAGTGTCAAGTGCTCGTCGCAGCCAGCTGGGAATACTCTCAGAGATCTTCTCATTCTCCCCTGACCCATGGGAGTGTCCAGTCTGTTGCCACTGCAGGAAGACTTTTTCTCTTCCCCTCTGTATCTCTCCATTTGTATCTTTTAGAATAATTGGAAATACTGTCTTGGATTGCCTTAGTGCATAGTGGAAGCCTCTTGTGGCAATGTGACAGCTGTCTCAGGGCACGTAACTGGTTCCCTCTCAGTCATAGCTCTGTGCTGCTCCTTCTGCTGTACCCAAGTCACTCAGACCCACCAGTTCCTCCTGATGGCCCAGCCCAGATCTGAATCACTTCTAGCTGAGTCCAAACCAGCTGCCCAGGACTTGCTAGGAATGCATGGGCAGGAGGACACCTCACCGTCATCAGATCTCAGACTGGAAACACCTCCAGAGCTCCAGAGACAGATCCCTCGACATGTTGGGCACAGAGGTACAGTGTGGGGCAGAGAGGGGCTGTGGGGCAATCAAGTTCACTTGGCCTGGATGAGAGCTCAGCCATTGCAATTCCCCTCTGCCGTGACAGAACATGGTAGAGACAAGAAACTCAGGGAGAGTTTTCCAATGAAAGGTGGGTCTGGGGAAGGGAGCAAAGACCGCTTGTCTTCCAGGCCCCAGCAGCCTCAGGCACATGCTGCTACCAAAACATCTTCTTTGCTGTCCAGTCACCGGGACTGTCCAGTCAGTGGGGGACACTCTTGAGGAGTCTTCTCCTGTGGTTTGTGGAGTGTCCTGGCTTATTCGTTCTGGAAATGCTCCAGTGCACTGCAGCCCACCCGCACTTCATAGGTGGGAAGACTTCCCCTCTCATCTTTTGTCTGTTTTTCCTTCTTCCTCTGCTAGAGCCTGCCCTGGCATCTCCCCCATGGTCCCCGATTCCACTGATACTCTTGCTAATGTCACTGTGCCTGCTTTTACTGATCAGTGCTAGGATCTACGGTGCTAAGGGTAAGTATTTAACAGGACCAAAAGTTCCCCATATCCTGCACTGTAAACTTATATGGGGTGGTAGGGGTTAGTTACGTAGAAATCAGCTGATATGGAAATGCTAGTTGATTAACATGAGCTGAGAATCTGGCCTGCAGCTCTGCTGCTTCTGGCTAGAAAATGGAGCCCCCGTGCTATTTAATATGGCAAAATCCATGTTGTTTTTGTACTTGGAAACTGCATCTTTACCTGGTGAACTTTCTAAACAGAATTTCAGCTCTGCACATCCCTGCCTGTGGTCTGGTACTTTGAAAGATGCCTCATTTGGAGATATGAGCTTGGGATGTGGAGCAGATCTCTGCTATGGGCCAGCAGTGCAATACTTTTGGTTGGAGAGCACTGTGCAGTTTTGTGGGGAGGATCTCAGCAGGTCTGTGGTAGCCAGCATGGCTCCTCTGGGCACTTGGCACCATTATGCATTACAATGAGTCTCCCAAACCATGGCAGGCACACCTGGCCAACTCCTCAAATTCATAATGTGGGATAGAAAAGCTGTGGTTTGGGGAGTTTCTTCATCCCAGATCAGGACATGAAGCCCAAGGCTGGAAGTGTCTTCCAGGAATGAGGTCTCTCAGCATTTTGTGTTGGGGCTTGGAAGCCCTCGAGGCAGGACCTAAAGGAGGCTGTGAAGGGCCTTGGAAACATTTGTGCCCTGACTCCATTGCCTGCCTCCAACACAGCATCTTTACCCATTGCTCCTCTGAGTTTAAGGCCAAACTGACTTGACAGATACCAATTCAGTTCACTTCAGTAGATCAAAGTGTTATGTTATTTCTGATGGAAAAACATAAAACTGAAGCATCCTCACAGAAGATGTTAGATTTGCAGAAACTGCATTTTCTTTTGAGAAATAATTTTGTTACAAAATTCTTGGATGGGTCTTGTGTTCACTCTTGCAATTGCACTGGCTGGGAACAAGCCTGATTACTGTTGCAGCCTGCTCTGGGCCATCCTAGACAGATGCAGTGACACTGTGGTCTGGAAGCTCTGGTATAAAAGCTACATTGTGGTTTCCAGAACTCCCTCTAGGGCTGTTTCAGCTGTTAGTGGATGCTATGCAATGGGTGTGGTCTTTTATAGGCCTGACTACCTTGCATTTGTGCTACTAGAGCTGGGCAGGGACCATATTTCATGTCTGCAAAGAAAAGGTGTAATTGCGCTTTTGGAAATGTTTTCATTCCAAATCAGGGCAAAAAGCCAAAACCTGCATATTTTTCAGAAGAAATGAAATACCTCCATGGGTTATTACCTAGAAGCCAGAGCAGCTAAAGCTCCATGGCAGCCCCCAAGGAGCATCCTGGAAGCCTCTGCTATTCTAGCTCTAATACCTGTAAGGACAAGATGTCAGGTTAAGGGCCAGAGTGCCTGGATACCTTTTTAGACCTCCATATGGAAAGTTGGGGAGGTGGGTGGGAAGGTGAGGTGGTGGCAAACAATTTAGAGGGCCTTAATTTGAGAAATCTTCACTTTCCTCATGGAAAACTGCTCCATCCAATCATACTAGTGCAGCTAGGGCTTGTGTGTCACCATGATACAGAGAACATTATTGCTACGAAGCTCTGCTGAAGCCTGTATCACAACAGATGCCATTGAGCTGTTCTGATGTTTCAGTCATGGGGCTGAGTCAAGAGAATGAAAACCCCACTCAGTGTCCGGTGTCCTGCCCAGACCCAAACACAACCGTTCCAGAAATGCCACAGGATCAGTCTCCCGACAAAGGTAAATTGTGGGATACGAGATGCTTTTAGAGTAGGGCCAAAGGTGCATGTGGAGCTGTCCTAGCACTGCAAAGGTTTTTCCCTTCCCAAATATTTGTGGGCCTTGGATAAAGGATCCCCTTGGAGGTGCCGCTACAAGGTGCAAAAACTCTTCTGAAATGGCATAAATGAAAGATTGCACTTTCCTGATCTGATGCTTCATTTCCAAATTTAAGATACGTTGCAAAAAATGCACAAAAAATACCTAAATCAAATGGAAATGTTTCAGATTATATAAATGAAATTTTCACTTGATGCAAATAAAATTGGGTTTTTGATTTAATGAATTTTGTATGGTATTTTGCATTTTGTCTGAGTTTAGGCCAGGAAAATCTGTTGTCTTGCAAAAACCTTTCAGAAGAGGAAAAGCTTTTCCCTCAGAGATCATTACCACCTGCGTCCAGCTTTGGGACCGGTGCCTCTCACTCAAGGACTGGTGTTCCTGTCTCTTGCCCACCTTCCCTGCTGGGGACATGTTCTCATCCCTCTACCCCGGTCTGGGCTGAAGTGATTGGTCTGGCCTCAGCCAAGTTGATGGTAGCTCTCTGGCTGGTCTGGCTTATCCCACAGATGGTCAGAGAAGCCAGCACCTGGTGTTTCCTGCATGGCAGTAGCTACTGCTCCTGAGGGAGGGAAGATGGGGAAAGGCCATCCCCATTTTGAGATGTGGGGCAGGAGCTTCCCTCACCACAGGTCCCATAAAACACAAGCAGTGGAAGTGGAGGAAAACAGTGGGTGTGATATTCTCTTGTTCCTGACGCAATGTCCTCAGCATGGTAGAGATCATGAATGTGGTGAGCTGATGTGGTGTTTGTTTTTACAGAGAAGTGTCCGGGGCGGTGGAGTCACAGCGAGAGCAGGTCCTACCTCTTTTCTCCTGAAAAAAGACCGTGGGCAGAGTGTAAATCCTCCTGCCATTCTCTCTCTGCTAGCCTGCTCACAATTGATAGCAAAGTCGAGATGGTGAGTTTGTGTTACTTTTGATATATTTGTGCAAATCAGCTAAGTGAAAGGAAACATCCAGGAGTCAGGCGCTGGGGCTGGGTTTCTCCATCCAAGTGTTGACCATGCAATGCCAAGAGTGGGGTTCTGAGTGCTGGGGAGGTCTGTGAATGGTCAAAAGACCTTGGTGGTCTCTTTGATTGTGTAGAAATCAGTGGGTGGTTTGTATGTGTATAGGCTTAGTTATATTTCTGTGTCTTGTGTTTCTGTTTAGTTGTGTGTATTACAGCATTACCTGCAGGATATTTGAGATGTTGCCTGATTGTACTAGCACAGGTCCTTAGGCAGATGCAGGATACTGAGGCTGTCGATGGAGATAATCTCTACATGGATGTCTCTCTATGGTGATACTGCATAGCGAACTCCTGGCACCCTGCTGCTGTCATGCATCTGAGAGATCTCACTTTCTTTCCCATGTAATCCTGTTCTCATGCAGAACTTCATCAACACAGAGTTATTTCACTATTATGAAGATCGTGGAAGCAGTCTGTACTACTTCCAGTTCTGGACTGGATTGTCGTACTACCCTGAAATAAGGAAGTGGATCTGGGCAGACGGCACAACTCTCTCCTCTGGCCTGTAAGTCTGTGTCACTAGACTGTCCACTACTTTGCACCAAAATGCAGCACAAGCACCTGAGTGTGATTGACCATTGGACCGAGGGCCTCAGACAGGCCCATTAAATAGTGTTGTACATTTCATGCTACACTCAGTTAGTGATAGGGCCCACAGGAAGCACAAGTCTGAACTGACCCCAGGTTTTTGGAAACCTTTAGTTGGGTGCTGAGCCTCTAGTGAAACAAATCTTGCCCTGAGGGCTCAAAGGTGGTAAAGAAAGACAGCATCACTCCCCTCTCTCTTGTGAGAACCAGACACATTGACTAGCTGGTTGGATGAGGACAGCATGTATGTATGGATAAGGCACTTCTCCATTAGCCTGTGAGGGACTTTCTGATAAGCTCAGCTCATACAGCATGAAGGACCCATCCCACCATAATAATATAAGAAATACCATATTGGGTCAGATTAATGGTCCAATGGTTCATCTAGCCCAATATCCTTGTCTGTGGCAGTGCCAGAAGTGGATGCTTTATGGGGAGAGCATTGAACCAGATATCTCTGGAGTGATCAATCCTCTATTCAATATCCTCCCTGCTATCCACGATTTCTTATGTTAGAGATGCCAGAGGAAACATCTTCAGAGATGCCAGAGAGAATATCACGAAACATCATGAGCTGTACACAGGCTATGTGTGTTAGGGGCATAACAAGAAGAGTTTGTGCTCTAAGCAAACTCTGTGGGAGAGTGGTGGTGGAGGTGTGCAGGAGTCTTATCCATGATACAGATTCAAAAACAGTCCACAGCTGCAGTGGTTGTGGCTGCTGCTGGCACTGCAGTATGGTCTGCCTGCCTCAATTGTTCCTCTTACAGCAACAACAGGGTGTCCATGTCCCCAGCTGCTGCTGCAAGAGCAACACCATGGGGCTGCTGTTACAGCTGGGGCATGGACTTCAGCAGGGTGGGGGTGATTGTGACTTCCCCCCTGAGATGGCTTCCAGGGCCAGTGCCCCACTTACCCATCCTGAGTTACACTACTGATATGTGTTACAGGAAATGTGAAGGTTATAGAACATCTTCAGCAGTGTCTTGGGACTAGTTACTGTATCCATGTGAAGCCCGGTGGACAACTTAGCTCATGAGTTCAACACCACAGAGCTGGAAGAGTCATGACAGCTACTCACTATCCTAAAATCACTTCTCTCTCTAAAACTGTCTGTATTAAGGGCCATTCCCATGACTCTTGTAGACTGACTCACCATAAGGAAGGGCAGACACTTGAGATCAATCAAGGGTTGGCAGTGTTAGATCCATGGGGGCCCTGGGGTTGGTGGGTGGAGATAAGGCTGATTCATTATGAGTGCAGTATAGAAGGAAGAGCCATGTGATACAGGAATTTATCTCATGGATAGTGTCTGCACTTGTGCAGTCTATGGATTGTATGTGGGAGTGTGTGGACCGGAATCACCACTGGGAAAAGTATTTAGTTGTAGGAAAAGGAGCACAGAAACCTCAATTTTTCAAGTTTGATTCCAGGAGGAATTTCTGGAGCATAAAAGTTTTCCTTAAGTGAAGTTTGGTTCACACAAAAGGTTGACCGCACCTTCCCTTGTACTGTGTGCCATAAGAGTGCAAGGGCCCTGTGCTGGGAGAGTCTCCTCTGACACATGTAGCCTTCAGAATATCTGCCCTTTCTTCTGATAGGCTGTTGCCTAAATGTCCCCACTTGTTAGTAGAACTAGGACAGAGAATTCCTGGTCCTATGTCATGGTGCACTGAACTCAAGGAGGATGGACCTGAACAGCAAAATGTGACTCTTCATTCCAGGATTCAGCTCCCAGAACCCAGTCATGGAACTGATGCAGGTGGTGCTTGTGTGTATCTCCAAGTTGGGGCAGTTAAGCTGGGCAGGTGTGAAGAAGCTCTATTCTGCATTTGTGAAAAGATGAAGAAACCAGTAAGAAAAAATTAAGTACGTTGACCCAGAGACAGGTGATGCAGTGGGGACCGATGAAGGAGATGGTTTTAGCAAAGGAGGGAACATGCAGCTGCAGGAATGAAATGGACCCACCAGAAAACAGCCTGGGCTCTTATGGTGCCATTTGTAGGGTGAACAGCGGAGACCTGAACTACATCAAGGGACCTTGGGACTACCAGCCTGGGGCACTTGGGATGTTACATAGACACAGGCAAACCTAAATTCTTTCATTTCATGCATGTGTAATTTGACACAATCTCCATCACCCACAGCCCAGCTGCATCTGCTGGAACCCGCAGAGATGGCGTCCTTCTGTTACATCTTATATTCTAGGCTCTGTGATGGGTTTGTGCTTTGTTGGCAACCACATGAGCAACAGCCAATGGTCTGTATGACTGTATCACAGGCCCAAGGAAGAAACCTGTAATCCCCAGTGACTGCCCAGCCCAACACAGATGCCTCCCATTGTATACAGGGAACAATCTGGTCCTGCCACCCTGCAGGAGCTGTGAAGGCTGGGCTTTCCAGATTTGCCCTGGGGAGACTCCATAGCCTCTATTTGCTACAGGATTTTGCAGGAATTTTGTTCTGAAAATAAACCATCTCGCTCCACCCCCTTGTCCCTCTGCAGGAATAATGGGGGTCAGGCAGTAAGGAATAGGTGTATGTGCGTTGGATGGTCTGATGGGAGAAGGAAGTGGTTGTTGGCAGTGATTGTCTTTAGCCTGTGCCATCCTGGTCTCCCCATTGGGCCTACGGTATTGAATGTCACTGAGAAAATAGCAGTGACCAGTTCTCCTGGTCAGGTAACACTTCTGATCCTATGTGCTGTGAAACAGCTGAGTGGGGCAGGGGGAGTTCCTGCTGAGCCCTGAATGTGGTGTATAGGTAAGATAGTACATCACTGCTCTGAGGGGGGTTGGGTGCCAGTCACAAACTGTCCTGCCCCTCAGCATGCAAGGGGAGGGTGCAGTACTTGGGACACTGCTGGTTCCAGTGCTTGTGACACTGTGCTGAGCTGGAGGAGGGGCCCTGAAAACATCGAGTCAAAGACCCTGGCCCAGTGACATGAACAGGGATGGTTACATTTAGGCTCCAGACATGAATTCAGGCATATCAAGCCCTGTGGCTCTTTGAAAGGGGCAAGCAGCTAAGTGTCCTGTGGATTCTGCCAGGCACTGCAGGAGTCTGAGTCCTTTCACCAGTAGTTCCCTATTCTCCAGGCCACCCCCTGGGGATTCAGGGTATGGTTTTTCTTGGTAGCCCAAGGGAATGAGGCCCACAGATGTCGCTGAAAGGCCATGCAATTGGGAGTCTGTTACAGTCTATAAAAGATCCTACCCAAGGGGTCTGACATGCTGGTCTGGTTATTTCATAAACAGAGCTTGACTCCTAGGAGCATCTGTGTTATATATGCTTGTGTCCAACTGGTTCACCATTGTCACCACCCCCCTGGTCTTGGAAGCAGCCCCCCAGGCTCACCCCTTTGTGGTCATTCAGCTAGGGTGCTTACATTTAGGCTCTATACATGAATTCATGCCTGTCAAGCCCTGTGGCCCTTTGAAAGGGTCAAGCAACTGAATGTCCTGTTGATCCTGCCTGACAGGGCAGGAGTCTAAGTTTTTTTGCCAGTGGTTTTCTCTTCCCAGGCTGGCCTGAGGGGATTCAGGGCATGAGTTCTGAGGGCAGCCCAAGGGAATGAGGCCCATGGATGTCACTGAAAGGCTGTGGTATAGGAAGCCTGTTACAGTCGATTTAAGATTCTGCCTGAAGGGTTTGACATCCTGGTCTGGTTATTTCATAAACTGAGCTTGACTCCAAGGGACATCTGTGTTGCACATGCTTGTGTCCAACTGCTCCACCATTGTCACCACTCCCCTGGTCTGGGCAGCAGCCCCCAGGCTCACCCCTTTGCAGTCACTGAACCAGTACAGGTCCCTTCTCTGTGCACACTGTGTTCAGGAGAAGCACATCTCAAAGCAGCCAGGGCTTCCTGCTGTAAGGGGTGTCTGGGGCACAGGTGGTCAGTCTGAGAGGATCATGCTTGGTCATGGATTGAGTGGAATAGAACCCAAGGTCAAATCCAGGAATCAGTCCTAGTCCAAGATAGGAAGCTGAGGAGAGAGATGAAGCCATGGTGAAGGCAAGGGTTTGATCCAGGTCAAGACATCTAAGAAGGAACAGGAGCAATTGGGAACAGGAGTAAGCAGGTACTGGCAGCATGGTCCAAGTGTGATGTTCAGAGCGTAGAGACAATTTTAGGATTTCCCAGGCAGCCAGGGGCCCAGCAAGCTGACCTGTTGCCCAGATACCTCTCTGGTCGGGGAAGGGGTAGGAGAATCCTGGATAAGGGCCTGTATTTTCAGCACACCCCAGCCCAGCCCTGCAGAGTATGGGTCACATGTACCCCTCCTCTGCCATAAAGGGTCTTTCACCCATTGAGCATCCATGTCTGCTTTAGACCCCATTAACCTGGTGCAGCAGGGGTTCAGGCAGTACGCATTTCTCTTCTGACCAGGACCAACATAGATCAGGGCCCTGGGAGCGACCCCAGTAAATGGAGCACAACACCTTGGAGAGATTGCATACCTGGGACTGGTACCATGGGTAAGTGTGAAGGAGAAAGTCAGTGCATCTTCAGCTTGTCTAGATTTGAGAGACCCAAGGGAAATGAATTTCCATCTAAGTTCCACTCTAGGGCCACTGGGAGACCTGGTACAAAAGTGAGGGGAAAGCATGTCTCAGTCAAAGCTTGTAGGGATGTCAGCTCTAGGCTCTTCCAAGAGTGACTGTGACCAGTAGGGATGTAAGGGCCTCGTGATGCTCCCAGAAAAACAAATGAGCTGATAGGATTGCAGGAGTCATGAAAGACTCTATGCTGTCATGGGAAACACTGTGTCCCTGACTTCCCCTTCATGATCACTGCCCTGTGGTTTCTCATTATTATATTTTTCCCAAACCTACTCCTCCCCCAGTGAAGTCATAACAAATAGGGTTAGAAGGGACTTCTAGAGGTCATCTAGTCCAACCCCCTGCTTGCCTTGCTGCAACTTGAGACCATTGCTCCTTGCTCTGTCATGTCACCACTGAGAACAGTCTAGCTCCATCCTCTTTCACCCCTGCCTTTAGGTACTTGAAGGCTACTATTAAATCCCTTCTCAGTCTTCTATTCTCTAGAATAAATATGCTCAGTTCCCACAGCCTCTTCTCATAAGTCATGTGCCCTAGCCCCCTCACCATTTTTGTTGCCCTCCACATGGATGGAGGTGCAATTGGTGCCTGGGAGACTAGCATGTGCCTTGGTCTTCCTGAACCTGTCACTTCCGGTATGTTGTCAGGCAGTCAAGGCAAATTCCTTGCCTCCTCCTTCTTTCCCCTCTACTCCTCTCCAACTTCAGACCAACCTATGACCTACCTCCTCTTCTTCCAGCAAAAGAAGCAGGGGAAGGCACCCCTAAAGGAGCTTCAGCTCCCTCCCTTCCACCCACAAGTTGATGCCCCTAGGAAACAAGTGAGCAGACAGGATTGCAGGAATCATAGAAGATTCTTTATTCTGTCATGGCAAACTGTGTGTCCCTGGCCTCCCCTTTGTGGTCTCTCCCCTGTGGTTTCTCATGATTAAGTTTTTACCAAACTTTGTTGCCCCACAGTGAAGGCCATGTCCTATAAAAAGTTGAACTCCACAGCATTCTCCCCAGAACTGTGAAAACAGCAAAGGGATCAGATGGAGCTTTGCATATGGGAGTCAAGACACCCTGTTTTTGTACACATGTCCCCTGAGTATCAACAGCCTCTAAAACGAAATGTTCTCTTGCTGCTGCAAAAACGGGCAATAGAGCAGATGAACCTTCCCCCCCAAAAACAAACAAACAAAAAACCAAAAAACCAAAACCATCATAGTGTTGTGCAGGTGTTGACATCCCAGGGAGGCTGATGCTGAGAGAGAAGGCTAGTTTGGAGATCAGGGAGAGACAAAGGTACTAGAAGAGAGGTAGTTAGGTACATGATAGGATGGGATGGATAGCTGGAAGGAGGTGACATAAGCATGGAGAGGGAGGAGCTGAAATAGGAAGGTGCAGGAGAGATTAGGAGGGGTGGAGATTGGTAGAGAGATGGAAGGATGGTTGGGTGTAGGGTAACATGTAGTGAGTGAGAAATGCTTGCCTCTGAATTACGACACATGGATGGAGGTTAAGTTTGATTCTGGGAGACTAGTGCGTGCCTTGGATTTCCTGGGCCCAGCACTCCTGGTATGTCATTCGGCAGCTGAAGCAGATTCCCCACCTCCTCCTTCTCTCTCCTCTACCCTCCTCCAATCTCAGGCCAACCCAGGACCTACCTCCTCTTCTTCTATCCAAAGCAGCAGGTGAAGGCACCCCTGAAGAAGCTCCATCTTCCTCCCTCCTACTCACACTTTGGCTTTCTCCTCATAGACACCAGGCCCAGGTAGAGGGAGATCCACCTGCGATCAGGCCCCAACCAGGCTGGCAGGTTTTGGTGGCCGTGTCCCTGGTAGCTCTGTTCTGGGGCTTTGTGACTCAGCATCCCAGGGCAACTGACATCTGCTCGTGGCCACTGTGACATCAGAGCCCTCAACCGCCAATCACAGGGAGAATTCCCTGGCAACATGCCAGGCATGTGAAGCTATTGGGTGTAAAGAAAGGATGTTAAAGGTTTTAGAAAGGTGTGAGGGGCTTACACTTACCCTCCCTGCCCCTACAGCCTCTGACATATGGGGTACCTTTGCCAGGAAGAATGCAGGACTCTTCTTCTGCCCTGGTAATTAATACATTCCTGAATCTTTGTTACTTTTAGTTCACTTACCCCCTCCCCCACCATTGTCCTCTTTGGATCTTGTCTAATGCAACCAAATGCTGGGTTCCAAAATCTGGTGCAAGTCACAGGTTTGTGATACACTTCAGTTCTCCCCAGAACCAGGAACAGTCAAAGACCTGAACCAGAATAGTTTCTTCATTTATCATGTTGTGAACTTCATTACCCAGTAATCTTTTATCCAAGGATTACTCAGAATCTCCACTCTGAATCCTCACACAGCTTCAAAGCACAATAATAGAAAAACTAAGAAGCTAACATCCTTTGGGTAAAAGCAGAGGACATGAGGTCACTTCAATGGCAAGGAAACAGTTGGTCAATATAGCTCAGAAAATTCTAGGATACAGACAAGCCTCAAACCTTTAGAGCAGTGGTTCTCAACTTTTTTAGACTCAGGGTACCCCTTGGAAAATGCCAGCTCTTAGCTGTCAATTTTTCCTTGACTACTGAAAAACAACAGAGCAGATCTTATGTTGCAAAGAATTTAGAGAGACCACAAGAGAGCATTC